ACAGAGCCCCCCCCCAGCAGCACGACCGGAGAGCGAAGCCAGAGACCCCCCCAGCAGCATGATCCCAAGGAGGCGCCAGAGACCCCCCCCAGTAGCGCGACTCGAGAGCGGCACCAGAGATTCCCCGCAGCAGCATAACCCGAGAGAGGCGCCAGACTCCCTCCCAGCAGCACGACCTGAGAGTGGCCCCAAAGACCCCTCCCCCCCAGCAGCGAGACCCGAGAGCAGCGCTAGAGACACCCCCAAGCTGCACGACCCGAGAGCGGCACCAGAATCCCTCCCTGCAGCGAGATCCGAGAGCGGCGTGACTGAAGAGACCTCTCACTCACTAAGGTCTGTGGCTGTGGGAATTCTATCCTTTAGCCCTTCCCCCCCGCCCCTCGCCTATGTATAGGGCCCTCTACAAGAACACTGAGTCAGTCAGCCATGACGCACCACCGCTCTCCCTTGCGCGACTGGCGTACCTGCAGAATTCCCGTTGGCTCCTGAGCCCTTAACCCGTGGAGATGCTCACCTGGAATGCCTGCACGTGAGCTATACAAGGACACGGCAGAAGCAGAGCAAGGACAAAGACACAGACAGAAACAGACAGACAGAACGTATTGGCCAATACGAGAGAGCAACAAGAGAGAAACACACGAGAGGCAGCCAGAAACCTTACCACCTTGCGTCTCCCTCCTCGAGCCAAGCGTCTGCTGAAAAGGACACCGTGTTCCAGAGAAACCAGCACCCCTGACAAACGGGAGCTCTGTTTCTCCCACAAGCAAGGCAGCTCCTCAGGAACCTCCGCTCGGACTCGCCGTGTAAACAAACGTGACTCCCCTTCTTAGAACCGGGCGGGACGTAAGCCGAGACATTTCCAGACCCGACACTTATCTCCGTGTCAGCGATGGCTGCTCCGCTCCCAGCCGGACGGTTCTTGCCTCGCTTCGACCAAGCTCCCGAGCTCGCTGTTCTCGTTTTCATTCCATCCTGAGAGGGCAGGACACCGGGACGGTTGACTTCTTATTGCTTCCTACTGAACCAGGCAAAGGAGAAAAAACAAACAAACAACTTAGTGTTTCAGTCCGCAAGGACACGGCATCGCTTCTCCTCCCACCATCGCACCGCAGCCTCCCACCATCGGCCACTCCCTCCCGCTACCACTGCAGGAACGTGGAGAGAAAGGAGGTCTTGAATCTCTATCCACGCTGTTGAACCGCCTACTGCCCCTTCACCAGTCCCCAAGCCACCAGGCTCCGTGCCCCAGCAGGAAGCTCTCTGCCTCAGAAGAAACATACTGCCAGGACGCTTGAAGATTTCAAAGCACGCACCTCTTACTCACACAGAGCCACCCTTCAGGAGTCCCGGGAATCACGTCCGGGCAGGTCAAGTCCATCTCCGTCGGTTTCTTCTCTGGCCAGGGTCCCCCATTGATTCCTCTGCAATCGCGGTAGAAAAAGTTCAGTGGCTGTGGGAATTCTACCCGTTAGCCCTTTTCCCCTCTGCCCTCTGTATCAGGTCCGCTAAAAGAACGCTGAGTCAGTCAGCCGTGACACACCACAGCTCTCCCTTCCTCTCCGTTGCGCAACAGGCATACATGCATAATTCCCGTTGGCTCCTGGGCCCTTAACCTGTGGAGATGCTCACCCGGAATAGCTCTTGACTTGCAGTAATTTTGCTCATAGTCTCATTTTCTCTCTCTGTTCATCGCAGAACTGGAGGAGTCTCCAATAGTTGACTTTTTCCCCTGGTTCTGAATCCAGCACTTTAGGAAAAGTGAACACGTTGGCATCTCAGTCCGTAATGTCACGTAACCGCTTCTCACATATAAAGTATGCCTCTGGCTTCTACCCTCCCACTGGCACTGCAGAAATACGAGTGGAGAAGAGCGCTTTGAGCCCACATCCAAATAGTCTCTTTCCAGAGCAGACCCAGCAGAATTCTTCGTACCCAAAAGGAAACTCATGGCCTGGGATGAAACCGACTGCTAGTTGTCCCCTACTTTTTTAAAGGCTCCCAAGACCACATCTGTGGACATGCTCACCCAGCAGACCTGCCCATGTGCTGTGGAGGGAGACAGCAGGACTGCGAAGAATAGAGTCTCAAAGGGGTGATCAGTGGAGAAGTTCATTTCCTATTTTGGTCTCTACGTAAGTATGACTGTCTTGAATACCTGGTATTGAGGGCTGCACTGTGGAGGGGAGAGATCTAAGGATCCCAGGGGCACTGAGAGTTTGGGGGATTTAGAGGCTCCAGAGATGGAGAAGAGCATGGAGGAGTATTTGAGGGCCCCAGGTTGGCGGGCAAAGCCAACTCAGCAAGTTCATGGGGAACAATAATTGGAACTGGGGAGGGCTGGGGGTTAAGGGATCCCAGGAATAGAGGGATAACTGGGGCGGAGACCAGATTAGGGAAGGATATGGCAGGCTGGAAGTGTTGGGAAGGAGGAGGAGTGAGGGGGTAGGAGTGCAACTTGAGGGCGCGAATGAAGGAATAAGAGAGGCTGACAGGTCCCGGGCCCGGCGAGACAGGGGTATGTGGGTTGGGAAGGAAGGAAGAAGGGAGGCTGGTAGGATGCAGACCTGGCGAGAGAGGGGTGTGCGAGGAGGGTGTGTGGGTTGGGAAGGAAGGAAGAAGGGAGGCTGGTAGGACACAGACCTGGCGAGAGAGGGGTGTGTGAGGAGGGTGTGTGGGTTGGGAAGAAAGGAAGGAAGAAGGGAGGCTGGTAGGACGCAGACCTGGCGAGAGAGGGGTGTGCGAGGAGGGTGTGTGGGTTGGGAAGGAAGGAAGAAGGGAGGCTGGTAGGACGCAGACCTGGCGAGATAGGGGTGTGCGAGGAGGGTGTGTGGG